GGGGGGGGGAGTACGAGTGTGGGTGTGCGTGTGTGCGCCACGTGAGAGGGAGGGAGATGTACCGGGTGTAACTGTGAATACGCAGCAGTGTTGCGGGACTGCATACTCAATGTGGCAGAGTAGGCAAACCCACAACAGTCTGCGCATTCACAGCTACACCCGGTATATAGCGAGAGAAAGAGAGAGGTATGACGGAGGCAGGCAGAGCCCCACCCAGTCAGTGGCCAGTTTCCGGTGGGAGGCGACGAAGCGATTGAGCATCCGGAATGATACTGTTACACGGTTCAAAATCGAACGCAAATAGTAGAATTATTACAAGGCTTGTACTGGCTTGCAGTGAGATTGCCCCCCCCCCACCTCCCCCTCCTCTTCGAACTCGCGGGCGGGGCGAGAGAGGGGGGACGTAGCTATGCGAAGGGAAGGGGAGGGCATATCAAGGTCACCGAGAAACTGGGGAAGGGGAAAGGTGTGCGTGTGTGTGAGCGGGAGAGGGGGTGACAGGGGGAGCAGAGGAGGCTCAAGGCCAGCGAGGTTCAGCGAGGGGTGGGTCGGTCCGTTGGGAACACCGGGGCGGAGGGTGGGGGTGTGGCCGGCCGCACTCTGCATCAGGAGCGCAACCCCAAGCGGCCGTTTATAACGCTGGTCCTAAAGGCGTCGGCGCGGTCTTGTCCGTGGCCCGGAGCGGTGCCATCTTAAACGTCAGTGTTTGTTGTAAGACTCGGGGGTGGATATAATAGAGATCCCGCTTTTCGATGCTATAAAGTTTTATGGCGGGGCGGGGTGGGGCGGGGGCGGGCTGCCGCCTGAATGGAGGCGGCCGCCACCCACGGCCCCCAGGTCGTCTCTGTCGGTCTGAGGGCGCCGCCCTCCGGCCAGCTAATGGAACACGACCGTTATGACAAACAAACCCGGAGTGCCCCGCGTTGGACCAAATCTATGCCTCGGCCTGCTGCCCTGCAGATGTGGCACAGCAGGCGGGGCTGGGCCGCCCCCGCGCCACCCCACGCCCTCCGCCGCCCTCGTCCGCGAGGCGGAAGACACTCAGGTGTAGTGATAAACCAAGTGTTCAGCTGCTCAACACTTGTAAGTGTCGTAGGTGTGCACTTGCAAGTGTGCAACTTGTGCAACAATACCAAATACCAGCAACCAGAGCCTGGCGGGACCTTTTCCCGTGGTCCTATAAGGTCGCGAGTAGGCTCAAAAATCTTGTATTTGGACATTGCACGCGATATAGGCCCTCTCAATTTCAAACCTTCGTGCAAAACGCAGTCCCCTACCCGTCCTCCTGCAAGTCCGTACCATTGGTTCAAACAAAGCTTTGGACCCAGCTCGGATCACTTGCAGTGTGGGGTGGTGGGGCCCGCCCGCACAGCAGTGCAGCTGGCCCGGCACGCTGTGACGCCACTGATCGCCGTGCTCACCCTCGCTCACCCCCACGGCTGCCCTGGCTGCCCTGGCTGCCCAGTCCCAGTGCCCAGTAGGACCAGGAGGGAGTCTGGGCCGGACCCGCGCCAGGATTCTGAGCAGTTGCTTGGGGTGGAGGGGGAATACACATGGAGTGGGAGACCGTGGCCCGTGGCCCGAGCGCGGCGCTCGTCGAATGGGTTGCCTACCCGGACGGCGCTAGGCCTCACCGAGCGATGAACATGTCTCGAGCTAGCCTAGAGCGAGAGACAACCAGGCTGAGCCGCGGGCTATGCGTGAGGACTGAGTAGGTTATGAAAGTAAATAACAAAATTTCGGATGATTGGTGTTAATTGCAATGTTGGCGACTTGCTCCCGATGCCCTAAGGTACTTCCGTGCTTGCTCCCCGCAGTTTATGACGTCTGCAGAACTTGCCTTTCCCTAGCCCGTCAAGCACTTGACGGCCTTCTTGGCCTCGGGGAAGCTGGCGAGACCCGCGCACGCCACCCACGCCTCGGGGCCCGCGAGAGCCGTGGGGCCGCAGCCGACGCCCTTCGTGATGAGGCTGGTCGGCACGCCGGAGTTCTGCAGGCACTGGGCCTTGTCGCCGGCGTAGTTCAGCACCGTGTTCTTGACTTTATTGGCGAGTTTTCCTAGGCTGAAAGGCTTCGGCTCCGGCATGGGATTTGCAGCCGACAGCTGGAAGCGATAAGTCGAGCGTCACTCAGGACATTTAGCACAGCAGATGTTGACGGGGGGTCCCTCGACAAATTAAAAGTACTGGCATTTAAACACTTAGAAGTTCGCGCCAAATTTCTTAGAAAAATGAAACAGTAAATGCTTTACGAAACGAAAACTTCGTACTGTGAAGCACATTTCTATGCCACAAGATTTTGAACATCTTCCGGGTTGTAAAGTAAAGTTTTCGTAGCCCTAGAGGCTTGTTTCCTGTGTCACGTTACTTACCGCCACCAGGGCACACAGGGCAAGGAGGACGGGAGCGGTGGAAGCCATGGTAGTCGTGGGCGGACTGTGCTACCGTGGACTGGAAAAACGCTCCCTTTTATGTCCAAATGTAACGTCAGTGCACAACGCAACAGGTATGCACGTCAGTCACGGATTCGTGACCCTCGTCATAACTTTTTCATGACCACAGTAAAAATAATGTCTGTTTTAAGAAAAAAAATAAAACTTTAAGAAACTCTCATGTTTGAGGAGAAAAACTCCTAAGATGTCGACACCTCAATAGAGGAACGTGGTTCCCACAAGTGTGGAAAACCTGGAATGTACTTGACAGTCCTGGAAAAATAACATGGTCCTTGAAAGTCGTGGAAAACGCCAGGAGCTAAAATGTGGGAACCATGACCATGATGAAGTAAATTCCCACGTTTTTTAAGAACTCCAAATCTAAAGGGGTTTCCCTCTAATGTAGTAGTTCCTCAAGGTTTTCCTCTTTCCCTCTCAAAATCAGACATTGTTTTCACCATGGGGGAAGTGGTCGCATGCGTCGTGTTGTCTTCGGTAGCAGAAAACTGTCTGTTGATTATCGGATGATTGTAGGACAACTGATAAAATCGGTCCTAAATATATTTACTCTATTACGTGAATTTCAATTTCGCACGGAAAAGACGTTAGTTGACGATTGTGGTATCTGAATAACCAAGTGTTAGCTGTTTGAGCTAACGCGGACTTCAGTAATGTATGCACCAGCTCCCAAGGCAAAAAAAAAGTTCCCTCAGAGAACGGATCGTGAAAGCAGATGATATAAATTTCAGACCAGTGTGTCGTTTTACCTTGTCCTAACAACTGCACCCAGAAGACCGTAACTTTGACTTAACGAAATCACGAACTGACGATTATTTTCGTTGATTAGAAGAAAAAAAAGTTCTTTAGCTCAAACAAAATTTGTTCAATCTGACAAAACTTTCGTTCTGTGAAAGAAATTTTTTCGTTATATGAACGAAAAAGATTTCTTTGGTTTCTGGCACGAAATTTTCGTTGAATTGAATAAAACTTCTTTAATTCAAAGAAACGGCCTTCTGGGTGTGGAAACGCTCAGTATGGTCTACGTTAAAATTCTGCTTATTTCAATGAGACGAATGCACAACGCCTAGACTGCAGAGGGTCTTATGTCTTAATTTGCTATCAGAGTTTTCGAATAGACAGTTTAAAAGTCCCGCGCCTGCTCCAGATCCTATGGCGAGCGAGAGTACAAGCTGATGAAACATCGAACCAATTAGTTTCTTTTTGGTTACTGGTGACTTCCTGATTCTTTTGTTCTTGTTATGTATTTTCTTGATGTACCATCTGCTAAAAACTAGCTTCAGCGCTCCGGTCCGGGAGCGCAAAGACAGCGCATCGTTGTGGTGTGGCAGCGGCTGGCGAAAGGGGAAAATTGGGAGGAAAGTGGGGGGGGGGGCAAGCGCAGCGAGCCGCGAAGGTGGAGGAGGAAGAGGAGGAAAAACAAAATGTGACAAGAGACGTCAGAAGACAAAAAATATAGGTGTGTGTGTGTGTGTGTGTATTTTTTAAAAATAGGGGACTGTCTAAAAATTAGCCCACAGCGCTAAAAAGACCAGGCCAGAAAGCCCCACAGTTTTTCGTACATCTTGTGGCGTGGCGGCGCGCGGTCTGCCAAACACCCTCCGCCGCCGCCGTGCGGCTCGCCCTCCTGTGGTACATATAGGAAGGGGAGGGGAGGGAAGCCACTTTGCCTTCTGGTAGAGACCGTCTTCAGTGGACTGTCTGGCGTCGGACAACAAAATGGTGTGGAACGCTCTGTTTTTCACACACTGCAAAAAATTAGAGTCCATATTACGAAATAATCTACGGCGTTACTTTAGATGCCGCTCTTAGTCACTGCATCTAGGGTAAAGGGCGCGGAGTACGGTGTCGTTGTAGCACCGGAAAGCCCATGTTTTACATGTTAGTGTACGAATACAGCTCCTTTTGTCATGTCTTGGAGACCGATGAGCGATAAACCTCGAGATAGCCTCAAGCTAGCTTCGGGCTAGCCTCGAGCGAGAGAGAACCAGGCGGAGGGCGGAGCCGTGGGGTGGGCTATGATAAAAGACTGAGTAGATTGAAACAGGTAACTAGATTTTATATATGATTAGTGTGAAATACGATGTTGACTTGCTGCAGATACCGTAGACACTGGCCGCTGAGATGGTACGTAGTTCTTCTGTGCTTGCTTCCCGCAGTTTATGACATCTGCAGAACTTCCCTCTCCCTAGCCCGTGAAGCACTTGATGGCCTTCTTGGCCTCGGGGATGCTGGCGAGGCCCGCGCACGCCGCCCACGCCTCGGGGCCCGCGAGGGCCGTGGGGCCGCAGCCGACGCCTTTCTTGATGAGGCTAGCCGGCACTCCGGTGTTCTGCAAGCACCTGCCCTTGTCGCCGGCGAAGTTCATGACCGAGTTCTTGACTTTATTAGCGATTTTTCCCAGATTAAAAGGCTCCGGCTCCGGCATGGGATTGGCAGCCGACAGCTGGAACCAACAGTGCAATAGTCAAGCGTCGCTCACAGTCAGGACATTCAGCACAGCAGATGTTGACGCATTAAAACTTGTGACATTGAAACACCTAAAAGTTCGTGCCAAAAAAAGACAACGGTAAATTCTTTACGAATAAACTTCGTACTGTGAAGCATTTCCTGAAAAATCTTTACAACAATCA